AATAAATAATTCGGGTGACGATCCTCAACATTTTCCACATTGAAACCATCTTTTTTGTTGAAAACCTTCCAAAAAAGCCAATGCAAGCATAGTCAATATTTTTTTAAGTATTTTCTTGTACATTTTCTTTCTACCAGAATTGAAACTCGCCAATTGATGTGAGTTTCGACGATTAATAGAAAGTAGAACAACGAGTTCCGTTTTACCAACCGTTTATTTCAAATAATAAATAATTCGGGTGACGATCCTCAACATTTTTCACATCGGAACCATCTTTTTTTGTTTTTTTTTTTTTTCAAAAAAAACTATGTCAAAGAATTATGCCAATGTAAACACATAAATAATGTTTGATTTTCGCTTTTCTTTCCATTTACAGATGTTGATGAAGCATCAAAGAAAGAATTGAAGGACATCCTCATCCAATACGATCGTACATTGTTGGTTGGCGATCCACGTCGTTGCGAACCAAAGAAATTCGGTGGTCCAGGCGCTCGTGCTCGTTATCAAAAATCATACCGTTAAGAATATTCTTTTGTACCAATACACAGCAAATATGTATCGAATTATGATTTGGTGAAACAAAAATACATTCAACTTTTTTTTTTTTCAATAACACTGAACTCAAATCATCGTTTGATTTTCATTTATTTCATTTCAAAATTGACACGAACAATGATAAGCTTGGAAAGATACATTTTAAGACCAAGTTGTTGTTCATTGAATTTTTTTCCTCTCTTCTGGTCTGGTTCTACTTCACACAACAACATTTAAAAAAAAACAAATTTGATTGCATACAATCGCAAAAATATGATGTGTTTTGTTTGTCACTGACAAATTTTGTCACTTTCAGTTTACATCTGACAAAATTGTACTGAAATAACACATTTTTGTTAGTGGCTGCAAAACATACCGAGTGTATGCTATTAAATATGTTTAGCAAAAAAAAAAACAAGTGTTGTCAATTGTGTCCTTCAATTAAGAAAAAAAATCCCACAGCCACATCATCAATATTGAACGGCATTCCCGTTGAAAAGAGGTAAAATCAAAACCAATGAAAAACGATTTAAGTTACATGAAATCTTGCTTGAATTTATTTAAACAATAATAATTTAAGTGCGATTAAAATATACATATTTAGACATTAAATGAATTGCTTATTCCTAAAGGGTTTTCAGCTATTAAAATCGATTGAAATAGAGTGAATAAATTATGAGCAACTAGATAAATAGAGTTCTCGTAACCAATATTTATATAATAGTATATGAGTGTTGTATTATTGGTAAAATGGAGATTGTACTTGGGTAATTAAATGTTGTGTGTACCATCGTTTTGTGATGTCTTCTCTCACATTATTTTCATAAAAATTTCTTCGTAAAATCATAAGTTTGTCATCGAAATCATTGACCTAATGATGAATGTGATAACATAGACAATAAATAGAGCTAATGTGGCAATGCTAAATAATTGCGAACGTGTAAAATGCCGATCAAAATAATAGTAATTGGGTCGAATGTGTTCAAGTAAACCCGACCAACCGCCGTTATCAGTGAGCCACGGCACCAAATCGTCTTCGACAATATCGCCGGTACTTTCAATGAGTCTCGGTAAATAATCGTAATGACCTTGACGCACAATATCAACAGCCAAACCACCTGATACCGTGAATATTGAAATGATTTTTGCCCAACTGATACCATTTTTAAATAGGTCCTTTGCAACGGCATTCAATAAATATGGTGCGGTGTGTGCTTCTTCAAGTTCACCGAATGGTGCCCGTGATAAATGACGCGATATATTCATATAAACTCGTGGATGCATTCGTTCCAGCTCTTCGCACATCTGTTTAATAGTGGGATTATTATTATTATTATTTTTTCGTTTTGGAAATGGAAAAATGAGACACAGACATACAAAATGTTGACAATGTTATAAATAGACGAAATGTTTATCTTGATATGTGAATGAGAGAAAGAGAATTGAATGATATTTACCATGTTGAGAGCGGGAAATACTTCGTGAACGTCAAATGATGTCGGCGTATCTAAGAAATACCGGAGTCGTTGCAAAACCTTGCGATTTAAAATCCCAGCACGTTTTAATTTTACCCGCACATACTGGCTGCACAAGCATTTTGCCTAACGAAAAATACGGAGAGGAAGAGAAAGAAAAAGAGAGAAGAAAAATGCATTCGATTACCTTTTATGAGTGGATTTTTGTTTTGATCTTAAGCGTTGTGTTTGACTATATACAACATTGCTATTTTGACTCTTTTTTTCGCTTTCTGTTTGTAAATTTAAACTTATATGCAAATGAAAAAATTATGTTTTTGACTCGATTCACACAATGCAACACACACGCACACACAATGAAATGAGAGACGAGTGCACACTGTAAACGGCTTTGAGATGACATTATTTTTTTTTTTTTGGTTTGCATTTTTCTTCGTTTACTTTATTTATTGTGGTTTGATCCATCCATTTAGATTTGGCGCCGGACCTAATTCCTTTTTTGTCTTTCGTTCTTAATCTCGTTCTTTTTTATATTATATAGTTTTAATTCGCTTTGTGATCTGGTTATTTTGTTCTTCTCTCTCAAAATTCTTGTTGTGTCTGTCGTGTGTGTGTAAGCGATTTCAAATGAAACAAGAAAATATTCAGGTTGATCTTTTATGTGTAGTGTGATCGCGTGCGCGCACACTGTATGTAAAGAAAAACTGTCCACCGAACATGGAGCGCACATAAGACACAACAGAGATGGAATTGTGTTAGATAGAGAAGAGCGAAAAAAAGTAAACAAATTAGCGAAAGAGAATAAAATGTATTCAAAATGTATACAGTTGTTAACGTATTCTAATGCCAAATATGGTACATGTAATATTGCGCGCATCGAGCGCTCCGCGAATTATATGACAAATATATTTCAAACGAACAAAATCAAATATTCTAAATGAAGTGTGTGTGTGTGTGTGTGTGTGTGAGCGCGTGCAAGAAATAGAAAGATAGAAAGGGAAAGACACTTACGAGAATCGACCAACTTAAATGAACGTACAACGAAACGAATCACACACAACTCGAGACGGTGTCTGTCTATTTGCGCTCACGCGCAACTGATACAATTCCAAACGTGCATATATGTACACATAAATTTTTTCTTTGAACACAATTATCTTGGAAGTTAATCGTCCAAAGCAAAATCTAAATCGCAGCAAAAAGTTAACGACAGCAACAAAATCAACGGTAACATTAATCAGTGAACAAATAATGACAACAACGAAAGCACCAACAACAAATAATAATATGAAAATAAAATAGTCAGAAAATGGAGACTGAGTAGCGAGAATGAGATGCTCGACCGACAAAAACAGGGGCGAGTATTTAAAAGAATATACTCGTTGC